GATTAAGCCCCCACTATGATACTGCCATATACAGATGCCTGATTTCTGCCACTTATATCTCCTGTCACTGTTCAATCTCTGCAGTGGTTTCTTAGAGGAAAACTTTTCTTTAGCAGAAATAGCAGCAGCATGCCAAGGCTGGCCTGCCACAGCTGCACAGCCTGCCTGCCTGCAGAGCTGCTGCCAGGGTGCTCCGCTGGCACGTCTCAGCAATTGCTTCTTGATCTGTCACCAATTCTATGTTGAGGAAGGAATCTGGGGTCCAAAGACAGGGTGAGCAGATTAACTGTTCAGTGAGTGTTTCATGCCTAAAAAAGAAAGGGTAATAGTAACTTCTCCCTCATTTCACATTCTTTCCCCTCCTTGCTGATGACACATAACTGATAACTTTGAAAGCTTTTCTTAGGCATATGTGCACATTGTTGTCTTTGCTGACTGTTCATCAGTAGTGGGATGCCTGGTGATATATGAGCACATCAGAGCATGTCCCAATTTTTCTTCTGGTTTTGGTGAGTTTTTCCTTAGAAGATAATGACGTCTCAAAAACTGCTTCCCTTTTGCAGGCAGTAAAAAAAGTAACCTACCATGAAATGAGCTTGAAAGGTAGAACGAGTGGACTCCATTACTTCTCATCTACTGCTTTTAGCATCTTCTGGTTCAGATGCTTTCTGTGTTTGTCCCAAAAACAAGGACTAAAAAGTGGCTATGATTAGGCCTTTTTCCCTATGCCAAGCTGATTTTCTTACATATGCTCATGTCCTTACTTGAGTAGTTTGAGGGAGAAGTACAAAGTATCACCCACCTGTGATAGTCATGAGTTGTCGTTTCTTTCAGTTCAAGTTGCATCTCTTCAATTTATAGTGTGCTGTTAATATTTGTGTCATACACACGTAAGGGAAAGAAGCCTGTTACCTGAAACGTCTGCAAAGATTGCATCCAGGTACTGCTTTGTCAGTGCTGCGTGACTTGTTTGCTGGAGGTGGGGGAAGGGGAGGCAAGGGGTGCAATCAGTACTTGAAATTGTTGTAACGAGTGAGAGGTATTGATGCCTGTAAGAGACAAAAGGAGATACTTTCTACCAAGTTATTTCTGCGTTTCTGTCAGTTTGGTAGGGCTCATTCTCTGACCACAGCTCATAACTCCTTCACTTTATGGGCTTCTAACCTACCTGCAGAAGGGAGGCAGAAGCAGCTCAAATAGCTCTTATGGAGCTTTATTTTGAGAATGGGAGATATTCTCTTCAGATGATGTTTCTCCAAAACATCATATGCACTGTCAGAACTGCAGCTTTCGTTAGAGAGACACCGTGAAGCTTCACTATCTAAGCACGCTAACTGTTGCATATGATGCAAGAATTTTATTTACACCTCGTCACTGCAGTGCTTATTCACTTCCTTTAAACCTATTTTGAAAAATTAAAGGAGGAGCGTTTTCCAGGATTTTAATCTCCAGTATTCCCCTTGTGTCTGACAACAACAGGTTTTGGGGGGCATTTTTTTCAAACTGTAATTTTGTTACGTCCCTCTGTCTCACTGAAGCCTATAATCTGCACTGTGAATTGGCAGCTTGCCACATGCAGCAGATGGACTTAAGCACACTTCTGCCAGGCAGCCTGCTTGTGCACCAAGCCCTGCATGTGTGGCATCCATTTCCTAACCAGAATTTCAAAACAGCTGTCCGTGGAGGACTCCTGTGTCTGTACTAACAAGAACTGCCAGGAGCCCCACAGTTTGGGGTATGGTTTCTATCTGAGCAGTTTGAACAGTTTTAATATGCCCCAGATTGGAGCAGTGATCTCTGAGCTCTGTGGTCTGTAACAGTTTGCAGGAGGATCATCCTGCAGGACAGTGGAGGTTTGTGTCTAATGCAAATCCACCTAGCTGTGTCCACAAAAGTTGCTAAAGAAGGTGAATCAGATGCCTTAGTAACCACTGTACTGTGGTTCCAGGAGTTCCTGAATCCCGCAGATGAGACAGAAATGTAAAAAGTCTGTTTGTACGAGTGGGAATTTTCAGAGGGTTTCAAGGGAAACAAGTTGCAGCAGTAGCTGGAAGTAAGGAAAGGTGCATTATCAGCAAGTGGCAGCTGGCAGCAGGTGCCGGGAGGGAGGAAGCAGTGTTCCTCTCCAGTGATGCTTCCCAGCAGCTTCTTCAGACATGTTCCCTGCTGTGGTACAGAAGCTGGCATGTTTGCCCGCGTGGCTTTCACCTTCGTTCATGGATTGGTTTTAATGACTGTGCCCCATACTTTTCTTTTATTGAGCTTTTCTCCTAATGAAGACACAGAAGTTGAAAACCTCATTCTAAAAAATATTTTTACTTCTCCGTTCAATTAATCTAGCACAGGCTGACCTTTTGTTACAAATAATGACTTGAATTTTCTCAGGTGTTATGAAATGGCTGTAATGAAGGCACAGCGTTTGTCCTTTGGAAGAGACAAGGAACCGGCTGTTTCCATGTGTAGCTGCATCTAACCAGTGAAGTCTCAAAAAAGTTGAAATGATTGCCCTATTCTGGATGTTTTTTTAATTTAATTTTTTTTTTCTTTTCTGGTGCTTTTACTCTCTGAGGGTGAATGGCATTTACAATAACTGATGTTTTGCTTCATCTTTCCTTCTCTAAAATACATTTTTCTGATCAATTTTGCTTTCATTTTCAGTGGTTCTTTTTGTGATATGCAGCAGATTGTACCACATGGTTTCCTCTGGTACTCATCGTGCAGAATGGAAAACTGGGATGAGCAGTTCATAGTGAGGTCAATTCAAATCCATGGGGTCACATTCTGTGGCACTGCTTGTCCCACAGCAGTGCTGTGGACGTGGCCACCTTTTCATTCAGTGTTTTAGACCATCTCCTGAAGTACATCTTTATATGTACGAGATGTTAGTGATCGTTAGATGTCCAAAAAGTTTGGGATGGATTACTTTATGCTGTTTATTTGTATTCACCTTTCATTTTGAAGAAAAATCTCAGATCTCTAAGCATCACTTTTCATTCTGACTTGGCTTGTGTTCCCTGTCTCTGTAAATCTCCTGTACTGGCCTTGACTTAAGATAGATGGAGGGTGACTGTTAAATTGGCTCATATTAATGTGGGGACTAACGAAATGTGCTGAAACTACATCAATATGTTGAAGCTATTACAGTGCACTCGTAGAAAAACAAAGTAACCTGAAGGTGCTGTTAATTTTACATTAAGAATGCATCAGGGAATGAAGACCAATCCATTTTACTTGGATTTTTTTGCTATGATTCTAAAAGCAGTTTCACCAAGATCAAGCCAAAGCTTTTGAGAGATCCTCATCACTTCTGTGGGTCTGCAGTCTTTTTTCTTATTCCTCATGCAAAATTAATTAGTAAGATTGGAAATAATTTTACTCCTAAACAAGAAAAAGATGTATTTTGGGTCTACCCCGATGTCTGCATAGAACTTGCAGAAAGACAGAAGCCTGTGTAATTCTGTGCAAGAAGCAAACACTGAAAAAAAAGTAGTAAAGTAAATAAATGAGAAATATATTTGTATTTCTTCCCCTGACAGTTCTTTTAACTACTGGTGCTTTTTACAACAAGAGATCAAAACTATAGGGAGGAGTGTGACTTAAGACAGAAATATCCTTTAAAATTTCATAGTTTATTATGCGTCGCTTTCGACTAAGAGTGAATTGCACAAAAGCTGTCCCTGTGCGTCAGCCTCTGAAGGTGAAAGGCAGTTCTTGCCATAGGAGCCTGCAGGCTCAGTGCCCAGCTTCACAGGAACAGCTCCCTCTTCCTCTCTTTTTTAGGGAGAGCCATTTTCCTTACTTAGTTCTAATGATTTTTTTTTTTTTTTTTTTTCCATTATCAGAGTATTTCTAGCAGTTTCCCTTCCATTTTGATGCTACAGCATATTCAGGCATAGCTGGGATGAGGCTCCAAACAGCCAATGCCTTTGCCTGGGCACAAAGGAAGCAGTTTCCTTGGCAACCACAACCCCAGAAAGGTCCCAAAACAGCATTTCCACCTGCCTGAGATTTCTTTTTAATTTAGGAGTTTGCACATCGGCTTTGCGTGGAGAATTGGGTTCTGTAGCAGGGTTTTATTCATAACAGAAGTTGCTTACAGGAATAATATAATTTTTGCATATGCATTTATACATTGGACTGCTGGGCTTACAAGAAAGACTGTCAATTTATGGAGTGACAGCGGATGCTACAGTAGCGTGTGTAGGATTGAGGAAGGACACCCAACACTAAGCTGCAAAAATTAAAACACCGCAAAGGAGCAAAAAAAAATCTATCAAGAGAAGAATTAGCCCGCTCCTATGCAAGGAATTATGAGATTGGGGAAACTGCCAGGCTCGCATACGTCTTTAGTTTTGTTATTAGATTGTCAGCTGTAAGATCAAGCAGCCCCAGCAGCTGCCAGTGACAGGCAGTTGGAGTGGGGCTGAGGCGTGTGGATGACTGGAGGGCTTGGGAAGCAGCAGGAGCTCCCGGCTGCTGCTGTGGTGCTGAGCTGGTGGCCATGTTGGGCAAGCAGAGCCCCTCAGGTCTGCATGAGGCAGACACCCAAGGATGCTCCCCTGGCCTCAAAATCTCCGCAGACTGAAGAGACACAAACAGAAAAAAATGCCACAGGTGCTGTAGCAGTGAGCCATGAGATCCAATTCTCACATGACTGACTCCTAAAAGCCATTTTATGTCAAGGCACCAGAGCCGTCTGAAGCCTAACTGTGTTTACTTTGCTCATGGCTTTCAAATATCATCAGAGGTAGTTGCATGTGGAAGGAACTCAGCTTTTCTTTTTGCCCACCGTGCTGTGGAAAAGCAGGAATGTATTTTTATGGACAAAACAGCTGTGTCACACAGGTTCCCCTGGCCTGGGCCCTGCTGAGGGGAAGCCCTGCAGGGAGCACTGTGCATTGCACAGCAAGGAACGGAGCTGGGGCCACGTGAGGTGCATGGCCTGAGGGAGAGGAGGGGAAGGAAATAACCCTTGAACTCCAAATACAAGTGCAAGCAGAACATCGCTTGCATAGGCAGCAATGCCTATGAGAGTAAAACATTCTTTGTGGTTGTAAGCCAAACCTAGAATACAGCAGAAAAGCCTGCAGTCAGTGTTCCTTAACAAGACAGATGTTCCTCAAAGGTATGTCACCTTTCCAAGTTGTACTTTTAGTTTAGTTTTGCTTTCCTAACAAGGAAGATTTTCTCTGGTCTGACTGGTGCTGTTGGTGCTTCTGCTGATGCTTATTTCTGCTGTGAAGTTGTTGGGATTTGTGTGTAGCAGCAGTTCTCCTATTGCTGTGTGGGCTGGAGTTTACCAGAACACATTGGGAGGGTCCTGCAATCACTTAATTGCTCTTTGGGTGTTAGATTCCTCCATCAGATTGTTGTACTTTCTTAAATGTCCCTACTTCTGTGAACTGGTTGTCCCAAGACCATTTGCCTGCCTAGATAGAATGTCTCCTTCAGATTTAAGAGAGACACGTCTTTGTGCAGCACATGGGCATTCAGATCTGAAGGAGGGGGTTTTTCAGTCACTGCTGCAACACGGAGAAATAGCAACAGAAATCGTGTTTTATTGCTTTGCCAAAACAGTGTTTATGTTATAAATCTCTACCTAATATTTCCCTTTTCATAGGCTGTACCTCGGAAGGGGCTGCTTGGGCTTTTTAGCTTTATATATTGCAGACAAATAGCCCTTCCAGCTGCTCTGATGAGTGTCTTGAAAGCACGGGTGCTAACCGAAGCAGCTGAAGGTGATAACAAAAACTAAGTGGTGTCACTATCCCTCCTCCACCTGAGTTCCCCGTAGCCAATTAATATTTCTTGTGCTTGAGTGATGAGGCTCAGAGTGCAGCTCTGCTTAACAGGGAGAAGAAAAATTCTTCCCAGCTGCAGCAGCTATTTCAATCCCTCTTTGACAAAGATCTTTTGATATGACACTCTTGCCTTCCTGGAACTGCTGGATCCCACTATCATGGAGGTGTATGTCATCTTGTTAGGAGACTTCATGACCTGGGCTATGTTGTTATTATCTTAATAATTAATATTTCACAATATAACTCGTTCTGCAGTGAATGAAATAAAGACCACAGCCTTCAGGTGTGTGTGGAGGGAATCTTTTCCTAAGCCTGTGCTTAGAGCATGCTTCTAATACCCAGTGGAAACGCTCTGTCAACAGAGAAAGATGAATGAAAAGGGAGAAATTTTCAGGTACAAAGAAGTTAGAGCTCTGTCAGCTTTCCAAAGCAGTAGCTTGATTACCTTCTCCCATCCTGGTCACCCATATAAAAATGTTTATTCATTTCATATGTTGCTTTAGTGAAACCTGTAAGTCTTCAAGCTAAATATTGGCGATCTCCACATATTAATGTCATCTTCTGGCTTACAAATTAGTAAAATGCTGCAAACCTGATGGGTTGAATTGTTACATATAAATCAAAGAGAACAAACTAATGAGGAAGAGAGCAATGACCAGCCTAATGGGAGGGTCAAAAAAGTAGCCCAATAAATAAAGGGGAGATTAAAGTGTCCCCATCAGTGGCAAGCTAGCATGTACACATACTGTTGTCAGTTTACCAGCTGAGCCCCTGCACAGCTGCTGGGGATCAGAGGGGCTGTGTAACGTTCCCAGCTCTGCTAAGGGTGAAAATAATCAGTCTGAGCTCCCAGAGATCTCTGCTTCTCTGGCAGTCGGCCCCTGACTTCTCTCAATCTCATTTATCCTTGCTGGAAAAGCAAGAAAAACAGTGCTTGCCCGTGAGAGGAAAGATGAGTTGCTTGCTGGGTTTTGCCTGAGCTCGCTTCCCCTGTCACATATCCTCCTTGTAACCTTGAGCAAATTGCTTGGACAGTGACATCCCCATACAGATTTTGTTTGAGAGGTGCTAGGGTGAAAAATTCCCACTTCTTCCTCTCAAAAGTGTTCTTTGTAGGGACTTTAGTTTCTAAAATTCTTCTTGTTTCGCCGAGTTTGGCATTTTGCTGTACAGAGAATTCTCACTGGCTGAGCTGCTTGGTGCTTAGCTGTGCTTCGGTCTTGTTACTGATGAAGATGCTTGGCTGCCTTGTTGATTACAGGGATATAAAGTTAAATGTTACAGTTACATGATGAAATTTTTTATTTTTTATCTCCCCTCCCTCAGTGCTGCATATCCTCATCCAAAAGTGCAATAAGAGCTACCAGCACAGCTCTCTTTTTGTGATGCATTAAGGACTGATATGCTTGGTACTCCATATGTATGTAAGGTTATGAGGATGCAGCAAAATAAAAATATCACTCCTCCGCCTTCTTTTTGGTAGGCTGAATGTCTTCCAGCTGCATGTCTGAAGGTACACTTTCATTAATTCTTCATTATTTCTCCTTCTCACAGTATTCATCCTCCACCTTCCAGGCTGCATTCATTCATTTAAATGTGGCATGCACAATTTCCTGTATGATTTTGCATCTGCAGCCTGACACAGTAGCAGTACCCGTTGGATGGAAGGTGCATTAACGAGCAATGCACAGGACCTGAAATTTCCTGTGGCAGAGGAGGGCACAGTGATCTTCCCAGATGAGTGTGGTGCTTTGTTTGTTTTTTCTGGGTTTGTTTTCGTTGTGGTGGCTTTTTTTGTGTGTCCCTCTCCCATCTTCTGAGAAACAAGGTGTGCATTCAGCTTTGATCCTGTAGCACGGCTATGGATGGTACATGTGCTGATTTAGTCCTAATGTGGCTGTCTGCAGTGCTCTGAATTCTGATAACTCTCCTGAACACCATCTTAATATCTTCCTTCTGAGGAGAGGTGGTAGTGACTGAGCATTAGGAATGCATATAAAGTTGCCTTCCAAATTTCCTTGCCTCTTAGATTTATTCTGGTAGCAATCTAAACAAAACTGTCACGAAGCTCCAGCTGCTGATTTCTGCATTGTTGACATCAGCATATTTTTAAAGCATTATAGGTGTTGGAACTAGATGAAGGCTGAACTTTTAGGCAAAAGATTTTTATCTCTTTACTGCCAAACAATAAACAAGCAGTTCAGAAGTTACCTCCCTGTGGACAGTGCAGAAATGAACAATGCTGCCTGTACCATGAACTGGAAGCTCTTTGCTTCCCCTCTGCTATCTAGAGGCATTTTCAGGTAATTTTCAGAGGTAATTTTCATGTTACTGAGGACTTGTAATTGATTATAAATGCTATTGGACAGTGGCTGTGTAGAGTTGGAAATAATGAATTAGCGCAAATTATTAAGGGTTAATGATATCTGTTATAGCTGCAGGGTTCATTCTAAAAACACTAAGCAATAGGAATGGTTTCACTTTTTGCATTTTCTGAGTACGTTCTATGAGAAGTGTGATAGCAGTGAAGATTACAGCAGGTTGTTTTCCAATTTAATGCTTTCTCTTTTTGGATGCTCCTGTTTTTCTTGTAGTATTATCTGATACCTCCTGTCATTGTTTTACACGCCCAGATAATGCATATGACAATGCTGATTAAAAAAATAAGTGACTGGGGAGGCTGGGGAGTGACCGAGAGGAAGGAAGTTGATGGGCAGTAAGAGTACAGCAGGTGATGTCATGTGTCCCAGAAGTGGCATCCTGCCAGCAGGCACCATTACTCTTTCTGTGCTTCAGTGTTGAGGTTTTGTATGTAAGCACTCTGATCAGAACTACTTCTGAGAGAATGATCGAGGCAATTGGCTATGATGAGAGCGGACATCACAGAAATATGATAGTGAGAAAACAGATCTTTTGTATCTTTATGATTTCATCCTTTGTCATCAGAACCTTTGATAAATTTGAGAATTTCAGTGTTAAGAGCACATATAGTAGAGATGTAGGAAACATTAGAGATGAATTTTAAAAAATTTATTGAACGTAAGCTTTAATTTCAGCTTCATTGTTGACACACTCTCAAATCTGGATCTCTTTTTCCATCCTTCAAAATGTGTGAGGAGGTGGAGGACAGATTGGTACGAGCAGTAGCTGCTAATTACAAAATGCACGTACTATAACCCGCAGCAATTCGTCCATGCAGTGGCATTGCTGGAAACATTGCATAGAGTCGATAGAAATCAAAACAGCATTGACTTTGAGTCTGTTTTTAACGCTGATATCCAATTTAAATAAATACCAGATGGGACAGAGGCAGTTTGTCTAGGTAATTACATTATCCCCACTCGCACAGTGCTGCACTGTGGCTTCAGCAGAGATATGCATGGAAGCGTCCGACAGCTGGGATGCTTCCACAGTGGAAGAAGGAGAGGCAATCCCAGCCAAGGAGGTAACAGAGGGAGGAAGATGTTTCACCCCATGCCCAGGATTTTGATACAGCCTGAAAAAGCTTTTGAATGTGCAGAAATTCCTAAAATTAATGCAAAAAAATCCATGTAAAAAGAAATGCTTGGCTAAAATTTCCTTCTATGTGTGAAATTGTAAGTATTTCTGCACACAGCAGAAGTGGCTTGGAGCTTCTGATGCCTTCAATTTATAGTAGTGGAAATGAGAAAGGAAGCTCAGCGTAAATTGAGAACCGACATTTAATTAGTAAAAATCCAACTAGGAGCGAATCAGTCCAACTAATGTATTTTAGATTTCTTACTTGAAGACATCAACTATCATAGAAATTTCATTAAACATGATTAGTTTAATTATTTTGTCCTTAGTAAAGAGTGCTAATTAACTTGAGTATGATAAATATGCATCTGAATATCATTTTGAAATCCCTACAGATCCTAATTGTTCTTAAAGACTGAGGTGTAGATTTTGCTATCATAATCCTTTTAGGAGTAAAGATTTCTTCAAGGTTCAAAGGTGAAGAGTTTTTCCCCTGAAGAAAGAGGCAATTTTTGAGCAAGATCTGAGATGAAATTATGAGGGCTCTGGAAATAACCTTGACGTATCTTGTACGCAGCCATGGCTTCTGCCTGTGAATTGAGACCAAATGAAAATCTGCAGAGGGGGATTGGTTACCACTAACCAGCAAGCAGCTCTGAATATGCAATCAATCTGTACATAAAAAAAGCATTACTTATCCTCGAAGATGGGAAGGAACAATATATGGCAAACCCTCTTAGCATACATCAGGCTGTAATTTGGGACCGTTCTTTTGTACTCACAATGGAGAGATGATCCTCCAAAAATCATTTTAAAATGCTGTATG